CTAAACCCTGGACCCCAGGCCCCAACCCCCCAGCCTGAAACCCCTCCCTGGAGGTGTATAACCCCACTATAAGTCTACTCATAAGCTACTGAGCGGACTTAGGGGGCTTACAAGTACAGAGATTTTGGGGGCAGACCCTAAACCCTGAACCCTAAACCCTGAACCCTAGACCCTAAACCCTGAACCCTAAACCCTAAACCCATGAACCTCCAAGCCTAAGACGCCGACCTCCGCCTGCCACTGCCACTGCCACTGGGAACCGTCGTTCCGGTTCAGATGCCGCTGCAGCAGGGCCAACTGCGCCAAGGGTTTAGGGTTAGGGTTTTAGGGTTTCGGGTTGAGGGTTGAGGGTTGTGGGTTGAGGGTTTAGGGTTTAGGGTCTTAGGGCTTAGGGCTTAGGGCTACTTGGAGGTTCATGGGTAATATATAAGTAGGGTTAGAAGCAGGGTATAAGTATTGTCGTCACCTTATCCAGAGTCTTGATACGCCTACTTAGAAGTACCGTGAACCTCCAAACAGGTTTTCAGGGGGCAACCCTGAACCCCCAGGCACCAACCCCTTCAAAGCCCTAAACCCTAAACTGGGTTGAGGGCCGAGGGTTCGGGGCACCTAGACCCCAAACTCTAGAGTAGGAGCACCCTAAACCCTAAACCCTCAATCCTAAACCCTGAGCCCTAAAAACTAAACCCTAAACTATGAGCACCCCAAAACCTAAACTAAGAGCACCCTAAACCCTCTAAACCCTAAACCCTAAACCCTAAGCCCTCTAAACCCAAAACCTCCACACATCGAGCGCCAGGCCTCTGCTGGAGTTACGCCATCAGCCGCAGCAGCACCCCCAAACCAACTGGTATCTGTTGGCAACCTAGGGTTTAGGGTTTAGGGTTTAGGGTTTTCGGTTTAGGGTTTAGGGTTTAAGGTTCAGGATTTAGGGTGTAGTCCAGCCTACAAACCCTAAACGCTAGACCCTGAAGCCCTAAAACCCTAGATCCCAAAAGCCCTCAGCCCTGAAACTCAAAAGTCCTAAAGACCTAAGCTCTCGACCCTAAAACCCTAAATCTAAATCCAGCGTCAGGCTGCGGCTTTGAAGCACCCAAAAGCTTCCCGTGAAATCCCAGAGTCAGACACATGCCTCTATAACCGAACGTAGGGGGGCTTAAGGGGTTTGGAGCTTCTCGTACTGTAACCCACAGATGTCGTCGTGAATTCAGGTGGGTTTACGGTTTAGGGTTCCCCTAAACCCTAAACCCTAAACCCTAAACCCCAAACCCCAAACCCCAAACCCTAAACCCGAAAATCTGATGAGGCTGCATCCTCAGTCTGCGCTCGACCCCAGCTCACAGGCCCTGCGTGCCAAAAACCTCAAAGGACCCATAGAACCCTAAACACCCGAGAACCTTTAAGGAACCCTAGTGAAGAAGGTTTAGAGTTGAAGGAAACCCCCCCAAATCTCACCCTAAACCCTCAACCCTCAGCCCTAAACCCTAAACCCTAAACTCGAAACCCTAAACCCCAAACCTCTTCAGTTCGTGAGAACGTGGAGGGACGCCGGCTGCTCTGCCAAGGAGCTGCTGCTCCCGCTGCTGCCAGAAGTTGACAGCTCCAGCCATTCGCCTCACAAGGGTTTGGGGTTTAGGGTTTAGGGTTTAGGGTTTAGGGTTTAGGGTGCAGGGTGTAGGGTGTAGGGTGTAGGGTGTAGGGTGTAGGGTGTAGGGTGTAGGGTTTAGGGTTTAGGTGTTAGGGTTTAAGGTTTAGGGGGTTAGGGGTTAGGGGTTAGGGGTTAGGGGTTAGGGGTTAGGGTTTAGGGTTTAGGGTTTAGGGTTTAGGGTTTAGGGTTTAGGGTTTAGGGTTTAGGGTTTAGGGTTTAGGGTTTAGGGTTTAGGGTTTAGGGTTTAGGGTTTAGGGTTTAGGGTTTAGGGTTTAGCCTGAACCGCGGGGTGTTCTCGCGCACTATCTGAGGCATTGACTGGCCGTCTTTCTGAGGCATTGACTGGCCGTCTTGCATCCAAGCATTTTCCTTGCAGGATTAGGGCGTGGTTCAGGGACTCTGCGATTTAGGATTTAGGGAGTAGGGTTTAGGTCGCCAGGGTGGAGAAATACGAGCGATTTCAATGTAGGCATACTGGGACCACAATGTCACAAGACCCGGACTAGTTCTCATGAAGTGGCCTCTAAGGCAAAAACACGATCTTCAAACCCTAAGTTTAAAATTTTGGGGGCGTGTCACGGCAAGGTTCCCCAGCCATAAAAGGGGGACAAAAAGGGCAACCTTTTGTTTGAATAGCGAGAAAAGCAAGAGAACCTAACCCCCTCCCAAAGACCCTACCACCCCAAACCCTAAACCGTAAACCCTAAACCCTAATGCCAGAATGGTTCTGTGTATCTTCCTGAGAGGTGTCACGCTCTAGAGCCCAGAGTGGGCCCTTAAGGGTTTAGGGTTTAGGGTTTAGGGTTTAGGGTTTAGGGTTTCGGGTTTAGGGTTTCGGGTTTAGGGTTAGGGTTTAAGGTTAGCTTGGGGGTTGGGGTTTCCTCATTCCAAAGGTCAGTGTTCCTTGTAAACTCCATTCTGGTACCAGGTACCCGGCACTTACACCAGGGGCCATCACACTGTCTGCACCCCCGTCTGTGCGCACAAAAAGAGATCGCGCTGGATAGAAACGGCTGCGGTGGCGTCAGGGCCTGGGGATACCCAGAGATTCCAAAACCCCTTAATTCAGGAATATACCTTAACTCATATTAGGGTTCCTATTATAATTGAAAGATATTCCTTAATTAGGGGTTTTTTGGAGTCTCTGGGTACTCTGGGGGCTTCGAGTGTGCTTGAAGGTTCATGGAGAGTTACACGTGGGGCTCTCCCGTGCCCTGATTAATTCGGATTGAAAAGGCAGCGACCCGACTTAAATTTCTACTTTAAACCCTTACCTTACTCAGGGTTTAGGATTTAGGGTTTAGGGTTTTGGGTTTAGGGTTTAGGGTTTAGGGTTTAGGGTTTAGGGTTTAGGAATTTACAAGCACCCACGAACCTTCAAGTAGTCTTGTGCAACAGCCCAGTCCGACCAGCACGTCGGACTCAACCCCAACACCCCTAAACCCTGGTTTCGGGTCAAGGGCTTAGGGACTAAGACACCCCAATCCCGAGCAACCCTGCCCGGCTGCGGAAACACCTTTGGCTTCTTCTTGCAGGCCTTGTGAGCTTGGTACGTTAGTCTCTTGGCATCCCTTCGGTATGCGATGAAGGCATGTACATACTCACTCCCGGCTCCGCGTCTTGGAACGAGAAGGCTATCCAAACGTTCGGATAGTCCTCCTCATGGACTTCACAGCAGCCTCACGAAAGCCTGGTGTTGGCAAAAGGGAACTAACATCAAGTCTCCAACACCCCTGAACCCCCTACAAACCCTCAAGTTCTCCCACCGGTCTTTTGCAGTTCTTTGTAGCTTTCCCCCTGTTCTGTTTAGTTTTTCTTCTTTGGCCAACACCCGGAAGAAAGCAGGCTCCAAAAACAAGCAGCGCTTGCTGGCGGCTTTCTGATTAAAAAGGGACTTCGCAGGCACCTTCTAAAGTTTTATTTTCAACAGGTGTCGCTCACAAAGGCGGATGGCAGTGATATGCAAGGATGGAGGCTAGGGCATACCGACATGGCATCGCAGCAACCACTGCCAACCAGGGAAACTAGCCCGAACTGGCTCGCAACCACTTCATAGCTTAGCTTTTCAGAGGCAGAGCAGAGGTGGATACCTAAACCCTAATCCCTAAACCGTAAACCTTAAACCCTAAGTCAGCAAATCCAGTTAAGGCGAAGACTCACGGGTTTACACAAAAGCGCGCTCAGAGACGAGGAAGCCTGTAGAAGCTTCCACGAATTCAGATACCAAAAGCATCTACACACACTTAGCAAGAAGAGTCATATGCCTGACTAAAGCGGCACATGGCCATCTGCAAGCATCATCCTTCCAGGCGGAGCGACAAAGTAACAACACACAGGGTCGATCGCTCCACCTTCAGGCGTGCTGCAAGTTGTACTTCAAAAATCTGCTCAAGCGGCCAGAAATGAACCATGCAGACCTTCTGAATGGATTGCGCCGACCTGGAAGGCGAGATTGTTAATGACTTGGTCCATCAGCCCTTCTCAAAGGAGTGACCGGTGTGGACCACAAAGCCGTTTGAGCTCTTGGTGCTATAGCTGACTTGTCAAGCACTGTACAGACAGGCGGCCAGAACGTAGACCCGTGAAGCTTCTCAGCTCTGCACAGCAGGAACACTATCTTTGCGCATCTCCGATTGGCAAAAGGATCTCATCCAGTAGGGTTTAGGGTTTAGGGTTGGGGGTTTTGGGTCTGGGGTTTAGGGTTTATCTGGCACACGATATCAACAGCAGTTGGCACCAACAAGGCGTACCAAGCGCTGTCAAGCAGACAGAGGCAGGTCACGTGGCAGTGCCCCTGCTACTACCTACAAGCATAAATCCGCGCAACTGCCCTCACATCCCAAAACCGCATCGCCCCAAACCTGGCGACGGGTCTAGGCACAAGGCTGTTGATGCACATTTTGGGGCCCGGTGAGGTGTCTCTTTGATAGTTTCGGGTACGGAGAACAACCCGCCCTAAACCCTAAAGCCTAAAGCCCTAAACCCTAAACCCTAAACCGTAAATGTAGAAGAGTGCGCCGACACACCAGCTGACAATCAACTGAACGAGGATCCCCCGCCTCTTTTGGAGGTAAGCTCCGGTGCAACTTTCTGCGCTGGTGCTTGCACACGCAGTGGGGGTGACGCAGCTACCTGGCGGAACGATCCGCTGTGCCAAACACAATCAAGGCTAAGAACCCGCTGCTTCGGATCCTAAACCCATCTAAACCTATGGGAAATGCTTGTTGGGATACTCCCCCTTCTACTAGCAGTCCGTGATGGGAATTATAATCGGGGGTGCTATGTTCCCTATTAAAGACGGTTAGTATAAGGGGAAACATCCCAACCGAAAACTCTCATCCGGGCAAAGGCCTCATAGTTTGGACATCGCTGCCACGTTTCGTTCACCTCGGCGCACAGGCCAGAACCTGGTGCCTCATCCTCGCCCCCAAGCCTCAGAGCCCAAAATCCCCAAAGCTTACCCCCAAACCCCCTCCAAACTCCCCGCAATGCCCCCCAAAAACCGATTGTACGCCATCTTAAACCCTAAACCCCAAACCCCAAACCCTAAACCCTAAACCCTTCTGCTCGGAGCCGTGCCATTAGCAAGCTTCGCTGGATGGCCACGTGCAGGGGCTTTCATCATCTGCGGCCTGGGGCTCTCAACTCCAATCTGCCATACTGTCAACACGCAGGAACAAACGAAGAACTCGTCTATATACATATATATATATATATATAGATATATGTATGTATTTCTCTGTGTGTGTATTTGTGCATACATATATATATATATATATTATACACGCATGTACATACATACACATGCGTGCACAAGTGTTTGCGCATGTGTGTGTATGTATGTGTGTATGGAGAGTTGTGGGTTTAACAGGCACGGTCCAAGAAAGCTTGGAACGCTCTATGCCTTCTGCGGTTCAGGAGTTGGGGATTTTGGGGGGGCCTAGGAGGTTGAGCTTTTTGGAGTTGGGATGTTCCCCCTGAAACTAACAGTCCTGCATGGGGATTGTAGTACCCCCTATTAGAATCTCTATTAAGGACTGTTTGTAGAAAGGGGAGCATCCCAAGTGTGGGGGAGTCCCCTCTTGATTGCCCCCATCCTTCGGAAAAAGCAAGCGTGCCTGGCTTCACGCTCGGGGCTTACTGAATGTAGGGTTTAGGGTTTAGGGTTTAGGGTTTAGGGTTTAGGGTTTAGGGTTTAGGGTTTAGGGTTCAGGGTTCAGGGTTCAGGGTTCAGGGTTTAGGGTGTAGGGTTTAGGGTTTAGGGTTTAGGGTTTAGGGTTTAGGGTTTAGGGCTTAGGGCTTAGGGCTTAGGGCTTAGGGTTTAGGGTTTAGGGTTTAGGGTTTAGGCCCCCTCAACCCTCAATCCGAAACCCTGAACCCTAAACCCTGAGCCCTACTTGCACCCACCTCGAATGACCCTAGCGGTTCCCCGACGCCTCAGACAGCAGACGAAGTTGGGCGAGGGCACGTGGTACCTTGAAACACCCAGGGTTTAGGATTTAGGGTTTAGGGTTTAGGGTTTAGGGTTCCCGGGTTTCAGGGTTTCAGGGTTTCAGAGTTTCGGGGTTTCAGGGTTTCAGGATTTCCGAGCGTCGTGGTTCTGAGGGTGGAGATTCAGGTTGACTGTAGTGTTGCTGGTTCTTCCCATGTATCCTAGAGAACCCCTAGCAAGAGCCAGCACGTGGTTCCCTCAACCCTAAAAACCCAGAAACCCGAAAAGTCCTGAACGCGAAACCCGGAAAGTGCTTGTGGGTTTGGGGATTCTTTGTTTTCTTTGTTTTGGGGTTTGGGGAACTTTGGTGCTTTGGGGGGCTTTGGGGGGCTTTGGGGGGCTTTGGGGGGCTTTGCCCCCCTTGGGGCTTCGGGGGCTTTGGGGGCGATTAATTTCAAGAGGAAAACCCACGAAATCCATCACGCCATCCATCCGGGCATCCATCACGCCATCCGTATAACGACGACTCTTTAACGACAACCACCTCCGCTGAAAAACCCTCCACCATGCTTTCGGGAAAAAACCATCAAATTCCTCATAGTCCCTTTTCAAAGTACCTAACCCTTAAAGCCTTGAAAACCCCAATCGCAGGGGTTTCTGGGGTGCAGGCTCTATATAGGCCTGAGGGTTTAAGGCTTAAGGGGATTTAAGGGTTCAAAGGTTCAGGGTCCACCCAAAAATCTAACCCCCAAAACCCCTAAGCCTGAAACGGGTGCCCAGCCCGCCCCCTAAACCCCTAAACCCTAAACCCCTAAACCCTAAACCCTAAACCCTAAACCCCTAAGGCGGTGCACTCGTTGCCCGTCCACTCCATGGTGCCCGTAGCGATGTTGAATCCTCGGTGATCACGTCTCAAGGGGGCTCGACCTTGGCCCCTTGAGGTTTAGGGTTTAGGGTTGAGGGTTTAGGGTTTAGGGTTTAGGGTTTAGGGTTGAGGGTTGAGGGTTTAGGGTTTAGGCTTTGTCAAGAATCCCAAGGGGTGAAAGGGCCAGAGAAGGAGCAGACGATCAAGGTCGGATGCCTTGAACGAGCGGCTTTTGGGTTGTAGGGTCGCCATCCCCTCCCTCCCCACCTAAACCCTAAACCCTAAACCCTAAACCCTAAACCGCCCCCCCCCCCCCTAATGCCCTGAGGTGTACAAGCACCTGCTAGTACGTCAGGATTGCCCTGGTTCTAAGGCTTCATGTTGGGATGTTCCCCCTTGTTAAGAGTCCTTACTAGGGTTTCGGGTTTAGGGTTTAGGGTTTAGGGTTTAGGGTTTAGGGTTTAGGGTTGATAATCCCTAGTAAGGACTGTTAGTATAAGGGGGAACATGCCAAGCTTCATGCTTGAAGCTTTCGGCCCAAGAGGGCTTAGAGATTAAAGCTTATTTGTGTCCGGGCAGGAAGGCTTACCTCAAGATAGAGAGAGCTGCAGCCCGTCGTCGTTGCATACCGGCTTATCAAGCAAACCTCTGAACCCAAAACTCTAAACCCTAAACCCTGAACCCTAAACCCTAAACCCTAAACCCGAAACCCTGAACCCTAAGCTCTGAACCTCTGAACCCGAACCTCGAAACTAAAAGGAGCCCCGAGCTGAAAAGAAGGAAAAGATCTGCAGGATCTAGGGGTTTAGGGTTTAGGGTTTAGGGTTTAGGGTTTAGGGTTTAGGGTTTAGGGTTTAGGGTATAGGATCTAAGGTTTCGGGTTTAGGGTGCTCTGAGGTTTCACGTCCTATGCAGAAGGGGGCCATGAACCTTTCCAGCACCCATGCCAGCGGGCGACGGAAGACTGAAATCTTGTCCGAGTCTTGGTTCGCTGAGATCAGCCACTGGCCTGCAGGTTGCAGGATTCTAAGGTTTAGGGTTTAGGGTTTAGGGCTTAGGGCTTAGGGTTTAGGGCTTAGGGTTTAGGGTTTAGGGTTTAGGACTAGGATTCTAGGGTCCGAAGTCTGGGCCCTTAATCTGGGGACCCTACAGAGCCCATACATACACTTTACATATTAAGGGCACATACTTCGGACAAGGTTAAGGGACCATACTAACGGCCCATGGTTCAAACCTTAGAAGGATTCAGGATTAGTTGTGGTAGGGCTAGGGGGGACTGAGCAACGGGGCCCGTGTTCGGTAGGGAAAAGGTGTGCCTGTCAGTTTAGGGTTTAGGCTTCAGGTTCAGGGTTTAGGGCCCGTAAGGCTGAGAGGTTCAAGGTTGGGACCCTGCATGAAGGCCATCTGTACTTACAGGGTTTTAAGTGAGTTAGCTGGGCAGGGGTACAAGTACCCGCATCCCTACTTTTAACTACCGATATTTGCGCACCACACTCTTGCGTCTGAAAAACACAGCAAAGCAACAACTGCAAAATCTCCCAACGCACGCCACTGCGTCGTAGCCTCAAGTTCCCCCACCCCTCCGCCAACACAAAAAAACACAGAACCCAACGGCCCAGTACGCGAACACCCCAACACCCGAACGCCCTACAATACGGTACCCCTGATAGCCCCAATATCCCGAATACCCCCAATGCCCCAAATTCTATCTATCCATCCCCCAATACCCCCAAGACCCACATAATCCCAAGTGAAACCGCAAAACCCTAAAATTATTAAGGACCCACAAAGGGACCCGAATTGAAAGAACCTCCCCACCCTATATATATATATATATATATATATATATGTATGCATACATGTATATATATATATATATGTATATGAATACATATTATATACAAATATATCCCCTGATACCCCCCCATACCCCCCAATCCTAAGATGTCCATGTCGCGCGCCTGAGCTATCGAATTGGAAGTGGCGAGGGGTAGCACCCCGGGTGTGCTGAAGGTGCCTCAAGGCCGAGCTCTTTTTTCAAAGCGACTTTGCTGGGTTTGCTTAGGGTTCAGGGTTATTAGGGTTTAGGGTTTAGGGGTTTGGGTTTAGGGTTCAGGGTTTTTAGGGTTTAGGGTTTTGGGTTGTGGGTTTTGGGTCTTGGTACTTCCGAGCACCAAGCCGTCCACCTCTGTGCTACCATGTGGTGGGGTGCTCGGCGTGAGGCGTTTTTTGGGTGAGTGTCCCGGGAGGGGCGGGATTGGCGATTCTTGTGATGAAGGGTTCTGTGAATAAGTTGTGAAGGTACCTGTAAGAGGATCCGAGCTTAGAACCACCCCATGTAGAAGTGAGAGAAGTGAGGGACTTGCGGAAAGTCTTTGGGAGCCAGCCATGAGTGCTGATCTTAAGCCTGAGCAAAGGCCTGCTTCGGGCTCAAGGTGTACCACAACCCCTGCCCCGCACTCACCCAGAACACTCGTGGAAAGCCCGTCTGCAACGAAAGCCGGCATGGGGTTGCTTTAAGCCCTAGTCCCTAAGCCCGAGATTTGGGTTGCATGATGACATACACCCGAGAGATTCCTTTGAAAAGTTCCCCAAGGTTGCCCGCCATCGGGAGGCCCACAACGCAGAGGTCGCTAACCCCTTACCTGAAAAAATATTAGTAGTTCTCTACGCATACCCTATATAGTACTTCACCCTTGAAGTAAGGACCCCAACAGGGGACCTTACTTAAAGAACTACCCATCTACCGTACATCAGCTCCTTCTCGGAACCTACATTATCAGGCTTCGTAATACAATAGGAGCGCAAGAGGGACCATGACTCAGAGAAGCCTACACAGAGCTTCAGTCTTAAAACCTGAAACCCCCAAACCCTCAATCAGGAGCCTAAGTATGGATAGGAGAGGCTCCAGACAGTTTAGGAAGTGCCTAGGAGGGTTTAGGGTTCAGGGTTCAGGGTTTAGGGTTTAGGGTTTAGGGTTTAGGGTTTAGGGTTTAGGGTTTAGGGTTTAGGGTGATCTGAGTATATACATACACCGCGCCACGTCGAAGCTTCGCTGCGTAGCTGAGGCCACGGCGCCAGGGACAGCTGCCCCTGAAGACCCAGCTCATGGGCCACCCGGAAGACCGTGATGCTGTTGTGCCCTGGAGGTTTTAGAGTTTCGGGTATAGGGTCTACAGGGCCCTTTGCACAGGGAACTTTAGGGAACCCGATTCAAACAAGTATCACGAGTAACCCACAGGGCTTCATGCATGAACCCTAAATCCCACACTCTAGAACCCCAAACCCTAAACCCCAAACCCTAAACCCCAAACCCTAAACCCCAAACCCCAAACCCCAAACCCCAAACCATAAACCCCAAACCACGGCTGGGCCCCAGGCCTCTGTTGGAGACGAGCACAAAGTGGCCGGAGGTGTGCACCTAAGCTAAGCTTCGACTTTTCGCTCGCAGTCTTCCTAAACCCTAAACCCTAAAACCTAAACCCTAAACCCTGAACCCTTAACTCCTTCACCTCAGCCTCAGCAATCCCTTCGCCCGCAGCAACCTCAACCCCAAAGCCCTACACTAAACCCCTCAACGTTGAACCCTCAGAACCCTTAGAGAGACCCTACTCAACCCTCAACCCAATTTAAGGTGGCTTAGCTTGCGCTCCTTAACAGCCGGCCCCATGTCTGCCCCCTAGGACCTGGAGCTTGATTGGTGATAGAGTAAGGAGTAAGGAGTCGGGTGGTTTTGGGTAGGTTCGAAGGAGCCCCTTTTTTGGGAGACGCCCGCTTCTGAAGGTTTCAGGCTTGGGGTCGTGTTCTGTGCGCTTTGGCATCTCACAGCGCCTGCGCAGCGAAAAAAGACCTTGCCGAACACAGTGGCAGCCGGCCGGGATCTGTGGGAACCCGGAATCTGTGGGAACCCGGAATTTGGGGATTGGTAGTGCTTACCCTAAACCCTAAACCCTAAACCCTAAACCCTAAACTTTCTGGCTTTGTTCAAGGGGGCCTCAAGCCCCGCGCACCTGGCAGCTGAGCCCCGCGCAGCTATTCTGCCACAGGTGTTCATGTCACTCGGCCAGGCATCTGGGATGGTTCTCACCTCTGCTTGGAGGTTGATGTGCAGGTTATGCGTAGTGTTCTATTCTAGTTAACCGTAAGTAAGGTGATAAGATGTTATAAGTATAGTTGCCCTAAGTTACTAAGTAGTGTTCTAAGAACCCTAGTTAAGGTTCTAAGATATCACAAGTACAGTTGCCCTCATAAAGTAGCCCTAGCTAGAACTACCCATGGACCTCCCAGACGTGTGCAAACGCTTAGGGCAGGCATTCCTTCCTCTCAGGTGCACGTGGGAAAGCGGCCTCAGATGTGCAGCTCGGATGGCCCCTTAACAAGGGTTTAGGGTTCAGGGTTTAGGGTTTAGGGTTTAGGGTTCAGGGTTTAGGGTTTAGGGTTTCCTAGTATGTGATCCTCTTCAACCCATAAAAGAAGATATGTTATGTCCCACGAACCTACCTTGCAACCCTAAACCCGAAAGCCTAAACCCTCAACCCTAAACCCTAAGCCCTAAACCCAGCTCGAGGCCCAAAAACTCCACCTGAGCACGGGGCAGTCTGCACCAAACGAAGAGTCGGTGCCGAGCGGGACACATCCGAGCCTGGAGGGTTCTAGAGAAGCTGCGAAGATTGGGACGATTTGCAGTCTGGCGGGGATAAGGAGAAGGAAGTGATCACTGTGCACAGATTTTGATGGTAGAAATGACCCCATGATTTTCCAGATTTTGGGGGCTTCCAAGGGCCTGGAGGCCCAGAGTTTGCAGGAGAGCCCACGGGCCCCAGGATTTTTCAGGGGGGGGGGGGTGCTTCAAGCCAGAACATTGTTTCAAGGCAACAAACTGTGTTTTTGGGCAGATCCTTAGGCTGAACTGGCATGTTGCGGCGAGGGCCCGCCGTATGGTTCCCTATGGAGCTCAGGTGTAGGGATTCTTTGGGAGAATTCCTCTAGGTCAGTACTCATTCATCTGTCAACTGGAGTTAGCCTAATCATGATCGGGGTAGACGAAGGGGCTTCTGACCAGGCGGCTTTTGGGGTTTAGGGTCTAGGGTTTAAGGTTTAGGGTTTAGGGTCTAGGGTCTAGGGTCTAGGGTCTAGGGTCTAGGGTCCAGGGTCTAGGGTTTAGGGTTTAGGGTTTAGGGTTTAGGGTTTAGTCGTAAGGAACTGGCTGCTCAAGAGATCCTCCGCAGCGTCGCGGTCGAAGGCAAAAACAGAAACCTGCGGTCAGGTCTCCATGGGCTACCCTGAACTACCCTGAACTACCCTAAACTACCCTAAACTACCTCCTAAACTATCCTGAACTACCCCAAATTATCCTAAACTATCCTAAACTACCCTAAACTACCCTAAACTACCCTAAACTACCTTAAACCCTGTAGGGGAGTTTCCGAAAATGGGGGGTACTTTGCGTACGAGTACCCCTGTTGGGGGTTTTGGTGGGTTCCGATAACAAGGGTCACGGGACCCTAGCCCCATTTTTGAAAGTACCCGTCTTTATCTCCAAACGGCCCCTCCCCGCTAGCACCTCTAAACAAACCCTTAACCCTTAACCCCGAACCCTAAACCCCAAGCCCCAAAACCTAAAGCCTAAACCCTGAACCCCTAAACCCTGAACCCTAAACCCGAAACCCTAAACCCTAAACCCTAAACCCTAAACCCTAAACCCTGCCCTAAAGCCTCGCGCCCCTTGCACCCCAAAGCTGCCCGCCTCAGACGACAGCTCGTTGACGACATAGGCGTAGGGAAGCGTTGGATGGAACCTCGGCTTCGAGAGGGCTTGGGGTTTAGGGTTTCTTTAGGGTTTAGGGTTTAGGGTTTAGGGTTTAGGGTTTAGGGTTTAGGGTTTAGGGTTTAGGGTTTAGGGTTTAGGGTTTCGGGTTTAGGGTTTAGGGTTTAGGGTTTAGGGTTTAGGGTTTAGGGTTTCGGGTTTAGGGTTTAGGGTTTAGGCAACCTAAAAGGCCTAAACAAACCCCACAGAACTCTTCCAAAAAGAAAGCAAACCTGAAAAAAAAATCAGGAAAAAAACCCTCCACTACGGAACCCTTATTTCAAAAAGAAACGAAAAGATCTCCACAGAACCAAGCCCCCCGAGGGTCTGGCTCGATATATCGCGGCCCGAGGGCGCTTTTGCTTTCGGGACCAGACCTCCGCGGTTTAGAATCTGGGGTTGAGGGTTTAGGGGTTTATGGTTTAGGGGTTTGGGGGAATGGGGGGGATGGAGGCATGGCGATTTGGGGGCTTAAGGTGAAAAGCTCAGGTTTAGGGCTCGCACGATTCCTTTTTCTGTGGGAACTCTACAGCCCGAACCCTAAACGGGGATAGGGCTATTCGTTTAGAGTCTAGCATCTAGGGTTTGGGTTTAGGGTTTAGAGTTTAGGGTTTAGGGTCTAGGGTCTAGGGTCTAGGGTTCAGGGTTTAGGGTTTAGGGTTTAGGGTTCAGGGTTTAGGGTTTAGGATGTAGGGGATCCTCAGCCCCAAATCGCACAAACCCCTCAATAGAAGGGCCCAGCCTGAACCCTAAACCCGAATGCAAGGAACCAACCCTCCACCGACCCTAAACCCTAAACCCCAAACCCTAAACCCTAAACCCTGAACCCCTCAACTACCTTCAACCCCTCAACTACCCTCAACTACCCTCTTCCCCTCAACCCCCAAAACCCCTCAACCCCCCAAAACCCTAAACCCCCTCTCAACCCCTCCACAGGCTCCCCTCAAACCCCGAAAGCCCCAAAAAAAACCATAACCCCAACGAGCTCCAAAGTCGGGCTTGGTAGCGCGGTAACCATACCTTTGTGGGTTGGTTACTTTGGCACTCAGCCCTGAACACTAAACCCCAAACCTAAACCCTAAACCCTAAACCCTAAACCCTAAACCCTAAACCCTAAACCCTAAACCCTAAACCCTAAACCCTAAACCCTACCTAAACCCCCAAGAGGGTGTCCTTATGGTACCAGCCTACCTTCAGGTTCACCCGGCGCCTGCAAAAGCCGGCGGCCTCCAGCTTGCCGGATTGGGGGTTGAACCTGCCCGGCTTTGAGGGGGGTTTTGGGAGGGGTTTGGGTTTTGGGGGTGTTGGGGGGTGTTGGGGGGTGTTGGGGGGTGTTTGGGGGGTGTTTGGGGGGTGTTTGGGGGGTGTTTCGGGGGTGTTTGGGGGGTGCTAGAGGGGTGTTTGGGGGTGTTTGGGGGGTGGTTGGGGGCGTGTTTGGGGTGTTTGGGGGAGGGGCGGGGAGTTTGGGTTTTATTATTGGGCCAGGGCTGGGCATTTTTCTGGGGACGCTCTGGACACTTTTCGGAGACCTTTATCTTGCTGCTAAGGGAAGGCTTGTCCAGGTACTCCTCTTTCAGAAAATGCAGCTGGGTGGGTTTCCTTCCGCTGGAACCCTAATGCTGTGCAGATCCTGTGGCGACCTTCTGGGATCCTTTCCTTATGGGGCTGGGCACCCCTAAACCCCTGCTTATCTAGGAATGGCTGGGGATTGCGGCGACCCGCAGTGATGACGTGGTAACTCCACCATTGGCTGCTCCTAGGCTTTTCCAGGTAGTTCTCCTTCATGACATGCACCAGGATAAAGACTTGCGTGCTCCCGGATCTGTTTTTAATACCTACTTCTTTACAAAATACACCAGGAAAGGATTTTCCAGGTAGTTCTCCTCCCCGTGAATGCAACTAGATGTGGTTTTGGTTGGATTTGGGCTTGCCCCTGGGAACATCTGCGGCCAGTTTTGGCAACATCTGCGGCCAGTTTTGGTCTGACGGATTAGGGTTAAGTACAAAGGCCTAGTATTATAGTTGGTATCCCATGGTCACTCCCAAACCAATCAACTTACCATCTCTGTTTTTTTGCTTGGGGGGCCAGCAAGCGTGCTAAAGCCGTGGACGCTCACAAAGCGCACCTGAACTGGCGGATGAGATCCATACCTCAGGACGCGGTTCAGGGTTTTTTAAGTTTAAGGTTTGGGAGGTGTAGGGTCCCTAAACCCTAAACCCTAAACCAGGGTGTAGGGCGTGGTGTTCAGGGTTAAAGCGGCCGTGAAATGGCGCGACGTGCTGTCCTGAGCTGTTCTCCTTTCCGAATCCTGCCACTCCCACAGCAGACGTATGATATGTTGATGACACTTCTCTGCACACGATAAACTTGCAAAAGGCACGCTCTACATCGGCTTAGGGTTTAGGGTTTAGGGTTTTGTGGGTTTAGGGAGTTTATAGGGTTCAGAGGGTTTCTGGAGTTTATTGAGTTCGTAGGGCTTATGGGGCTTATAGGGTTTGTAGGGCATAGAGAGTTTATAGGGTTTGTAGGGTTCATGGAGGGTCAAAGGCCACACAGGGCGTACAGGGTGTAAAGGCCACATAGGGTTTAATAGGGTCTCGGGCCACATCTAAGCTGACCCGCAGAAGCTCACCCCTACAAGCCCTATAAACCCAGAAAACCCTTTTTCAACCCTATGAACCCTATAAAACCCGCTAAACCCTAAACCCTAAACCCCAAACCCTAAACCCTACACCCTAAACCCACTAAACCCTAAAGAGGATCTCATGCCTCGGGAGCCCACCCAAGTCAGGCACGTAGGCGATCTGGCCGAAGAACCTCCGCCCCAGGGGAGGATCTGGGTTTTTGTCTGAGGGGGGTTTAGGGTTTAGGGTTTAGGGTTTAGGGTTTAGGGTTTAGGGTTTAGGGTTTAGGGTTTAGGGTTTGGGGTTTTGCTCGGGCTTGCGGAGTTTAGCTTCACTCGAACCCCAGACGCCTGCCCACAACAAAAAAGATCCTACCTGGGGAGAACACAAAACTGGTACACCTTCCGGCAGTTACAATCCCACCTTTTGCTGCCAATGAAGTACAGCCCTGCGTCCCGGACCCGAAACCCTAAACCCCAAACCCCAAGACCCAACTACCCTAAACCCCCTCTAAACCCGAAGCCCGAAAAAGCAACCACACAAGGCCCCAAACCACCACTTGTCGGACTCAGCGCTTAAAATGGTTCAGAGGCATCGAGGGTTTTTAGGGTTTTTTTGGGGGGGCTTTTAGGTGGTTTTAGGGGTTTTTAAGGTCTCTTAGGGGTATTTAGGGGGTTTTGGGGAATTTATGGAGGCAAGTAGGTTTTCGGTTTAAAGTTTAGGGCTTAGGAGATCGGCTACGACATTTTCGGGCTGTTCTGAGGCCGCCCACGGGTCCAAGATCACGGCGTGCGAGTGCCTGGCACGCAGCACCAGGAGGTTGCTTGGACAAAGGGGCTCTGGACCCCCAACCCCCCTTGAACCCTGAACCCTACCTGCACACCCCATGTAGACCCCTAGTGTGGGCCTATGGGCAGCCTTAACGGGAATACCTATAGGGGCTTAGGGAGACCGCCGTCTGATGGGACAAGTTGGGGGGTCACTTGCGGCTCGAACTAAACCCAGGGTTTGAGCTTGGGTTCGGGCGCAGACTTCCTGTGTGTCTGGGCGCATGTTGCCTTTTCTGAAAGGCTGGTGTTACAGGGCGGAGGGTCAAGCAGTGGTAGCTGCACCGATCTGAACGCAGGAGGCTTCTAGGGCATTTACCCTAAACCCGAAACCCTAAACCCTAAACCCCAAACCCTTTTTTGAGGGCTTGGGGAGGGGAAGGCTGGTTCGCTGGGATCCAGGCGGGTCACTCTGCCTCTCCTTCTGAGCATTCGGGTCGTTTTCGGAGTGGTTCACGTGCTTGGTGTGGCTCACCTGACCATGGCACTTGAGCCAAGATGGGTTTAGGGTTTAGGGTTTAGGGTTTCGGGTTTAGGGTTTAGGGTTTCGGGTTTCGGGTCTAGGGTTTAGGGTTTAGGGTTTCGGGCTTAGGGTTTGATCAACGTCATGGGCCCTCTTGGTATCTAGGGGCAAAGGCCCGTATCATCATATATCAGGAACCCTAAACCCTAAACCCTAAAACCCTAAGAAAAGAAACCTGGCTCGAGAGCCTTGCTAGCCACGAGTCTCTGGCATGACCTGCCCGGGGTCACACCATCGAAAGGCCACGAAAAAAGTACCCCCGCCACCCATGCTGAAACCCTGCGCAGCCCTAAACCCTAAACCCTAAACCCTAAACCAACCCTAAAGCCTAAAGCCTAAACCCTAAACCCTAAACCCTAAACCCCAAACCCCAAACCCCTGGCCTTCATGCCCCTGCCCTCATTGGGGTCATAGATGCTTCTGGCTTCGCCCACCAAACCTGAGTCCTTGTCGAGACCTCGGCGGTTCTAAAGGGTTTTGGGGCTTTAGGGTTTAGGGTTTAGGGTTTAGGGTTTAGGGTTTAGAGTTTAGGGTTTAGGGTTTAGGGTTTAGGGTTTTGGGGCTTTAGGGTTTAGGGCTTTTGGGTTTTACGGTTTAGCGTGTTCTTGGGTTTTTTGGGCTTTGGGATTTAGGGCTTCGGGTTTGGGGGTTTCAGGGTTTAAGGGTTTTTTGGGGTACTACGACAGGCCCTAAAATTTAGGATACCGACCAGAATTCTGAGAGCTGACCAAATGGAAATTAGGGTTTAGGGTTTAGGGTTTAGGGTTTAGGGTTTAGGGTTTAGGGTTTAGGGTTTAGGGTTTAGGGTTTAGGGTTGCAACCTGGATACCCAGATGATGGGTGCAAGCTTTAGCGGGTTTGCAGCAAGGTTTCTAGCGTGGCGCTAGGGGTACCGACCCGTGGGTCTAGATTATTAAAAAAGCAGGATGTGGTGCCAGCTTTGGCGGTGCTAACGCGGGATCTTTGCAAGTTATCTGAAACATTACAGAAAAAAACAACGGGGATAACCTCGTAAGCCATCATTCACCCAAGAGTCAAAACTCGAACTCATTATCTAAATCCAATAAGAATAAATACAAATAAATATCGCATTTCAGAAGAAGTAGACATAGACTGTTTAGTCATCCATAAAAAATATTTTTAACAGAACAAGGATGAAAAAAGACACAGACTACTGTTTCATAAAACCAATACTTTAGCATATGATAAGAATAGAAGAATATAATAAGCAACTACTCGGACTACATGCTTGAAATTCAACCATGTTTTCATCGCTCATGAATAACAAAATTGAAAGTGGCATAGACAAATATAATGCCTACAACCTGATTTTTATTAAGACTTACGACTTTAAGATAACCGAATGCAAGAAGATCAGTCCTCCCATATTTAATTATCGTTGATCGGCCGGACACAGTGCAAAGGACGCGGCGCATGGCTCTCAGAAACCCTAAACCCTAAACCCTAGACCCTAAATCCTAAGGAGTACCCATGAACCTGCAAGTAATCTTCAGTTGCGCTGCAGGAGGTGGCTTTAGGGTTCAGGGTTTTGAGGTCCCGAAAGTAGGGGGCACCCTCTTACCCACCAAGATACTGCAACCCTTGTTGTAACCCCACAAGGGGTACACCCTTTTGGGAACTTTCCCATTTTCAAGAAGCCCCAAGACACCCCCCTTTAACCCCTCAGGTACCTTGCCAAGGTCCCTACTTTCGTCTCTTAAAACCGCAGCCTTACCCTTCTTTACTGCTATTACACCCCATTTTTGTTTTTTGGTCAGGGGTGTCGTTTGGTTTAGGGTCAATATGGATGTCTTAGGAACTTGGGTGTCAGTGCGTCGTTCGCAATTTGCGGTTTCGGGTTTAGGGTTTAGCGTTTGGGGTTTGGGTTGTGGGCTTGGGGTTTAGGGTTTTGGGGTTTTGGGTTTTGAGGCAGGCACCAAAAACTCCGATCGTGGCGTTCCAGTAGTTGACAACGAGCAAATTTTGGCAGCCCTGGCAAGGCCACGTGCCGCTACTGACAGGAAAGACTGACCTTCTCTGCCCCGCCAGCGAACAGAACCCAGGGGGGCTACGCCGAAGAAATCTGCACCCAGGCCCGAGAATGATGAAACCGGAGCCCGACTACACCTAAACCCTAAACATCGAGAAAGAAAGAAAGAAAGAAAGAAAGAAAGGAAGAAAGTCATCGTCCCAAAGAAGGCACAATCCAATCAGATCAACCCTCCATGACCTTAATTTCTGCAACACACCCCTGATCTACGAGGCTGCGAATTCTACGAGGGAGGAAGGCTCTACCCTTAGGGCTTCGAGTTGTTTTTGGCTTAAGGTTTAGGGTTTAGGGTTTCGGGTTTAGGGTTTCGGGTTCCCGGCTCGCGTTCCTGCAACAGCCCGCTCGCACGCTCCTCCGCCCGTGCCAGCCTTGTCCAGCGTCAAGTAGCATGTCGAGGTGCCTCCGGCATCTTGGCCTGGAGGTTTCTCGGTTTAGGGTGTAGGGTTTAGGGTTGAGGGTTTGGGGTTTGGGGTTTAGGTTTAGGGTCTAGGGTCTAGGGTTTTGAGTTTAGGGTTTAGGGTTTAGGGTTTCGGGTTTAGGGTTTAGGGTTTAGGGTTTAGGGTTCTCAACTCGAGCGGATGGAGGGTTGTGGCTTAGGGTCAAATGTCCAGGGCCTGAGTGCCTGAGTGTCTAAAGAGTCTAAAGCTCAACATTTGGGTAGTTTGGTTGCTCACTGATATCAGATACCACTTTTGCAACTGTTTTCACTGTTGTCACCATTGCCACTTAGACACACACACACACACACAATTTATGAGTTTCCTGCCTTAGGGTGAACGAGTGAACGAGGGTTTGCTTTCTCCTTGGCTGTGGCGACGCTCGCGGTCACGCCCCCTCGCCGTCGATGTCACAAACCGAGGTCTTGTGCCGTCGCATGTGCCAAATCGTGCTCGCCTGCACGCATTTAAATTGTTCTGCTTGCCTCGGTGCTGGCATGACGCTGCCAGAAAACGTGGGGCACTTCCCACTCTTGATCATATAGGCATCCTCTTAGACGGCTGTACGCAGATCAGGTTGGCTCTGCGGGCGCTTCCGTGGTCCAAACTTGAGGCGTTCGCGCATCCCTTCCAAGGAGTCGTTCACTTCGCAGTGGCTGTGCGCGTCTTGGTCTTTCCATTCCCTGTCTGGGATCTACGCGGCATAATGGTTGTTGACATTCCGCATTGCCAATTTTTTTTGGAACACGATGGCTGCGTGGTGAGCAGGTAGTCATGGGGGAGGCGGTAGGAACAAGACAAATGTTTTTGCAAATGTGTGCGGTACTGAGGGCGGGAGGGGCAGATTGTGCCCCGTCGCTCAGGCCACGCACCATGCGAAGGAGACTCATCAAAAGCAACGTGAAGCAAGAAACCTCGGGCCCTAAACCCTAAACCCTAAACCCTGCGTTCTTTCACCATGACATTCATTGCCTTCTGAAGTTGCTGAGGTCGACGCTTCCCACTTTGGACAGCTTGCCCGTGCCAGCATCAACAGAATACGTCACCTGGGCGAAGCAACGTTGGGCCAGCGCCGTGAATACATCCGTTGCTGCTCCTCACCTTCTGATGCTTCAGAGCATGTGGGGGTTTACGATACCCCTAGCCTCATTGGGTCCTTATGAGAAGGGGGTCCTATGATTTGGGGGGTCATGAACCTCCAAGTCGACCATGGGTTCTCAAACCCTCAGATGCGCACAATCTCTCCATTCTCTGCAACCGACTCAGTGCAGGTGTAGAGCAGGTTCCTGCACAGGATCGAGGCAGATGTCCCGGATGAACTTTGAACACCAAACATGAACAAAACACACCCTTAAAAACCCCCAAGCGTGAGTTGCGCCTCGCTTTTTGGCCACGCATCCTGAACCCTAAACCCGAAACCCTAAACCGGATCCGAGGCCCCTACAAACCCCAAAAACCGGCAAACCCCAAGCCCCACTCCACCCTTTTCACCCTAAACCTTGGGATGTTCCCCGTTTTCTAAGAGTCCTTAGTAGGGATTCTCGTAACCCCCTATTGTAAGCCCCATGACGGACTGATAGAGACGGGGGAACATCCCACCTAAACCCCTTAACCCTTAACCCTAAACCCTAAACCCCTTAGCCCTAAACCCTAAACCCTAAACCCCTTAACCCTAAACCCTAAACCCCTTAACCCTAAACCCCGTAACCTCTAAACCCAGCCAGGGGCTCGCTCACCTTGCCCCCTCTGCGCGCCTCCGCGCATTGAAGCGGGAGAAAGCTGGGTTCATGACCTAGGGAGTCTAAGGTTTAGGGTTTGGGGTTTAGGGTAATTTAGGGATGGTTTAGGGTTTAGGGATGAGGATTTAGGTTTGGGACATGCTGGGATGGGCGTCATCCCACCACTGGGGGCCCACTCCACGTTCTCTGGACCCAGAGTGGATCCCACCCTGAAGGGTGCGCCCTGGAGGCATCAAAGGTCCTATTCTGCAAGCGGCTCCCCTGACTCATGGTGCAATTCAAAATATTCGGGTTGGGAACAGGGAGCGGCTGGCTTGCAACATTAGTGGGGCATGGGCTGTACGAATTTTGGAGGGCTTGGGGTCTTGCGCAAGGCTTCGTACTCTTGGAGGCGGGCACTGTCGTCCGTCGTCACAGAGAACAGGACCAACTCCCTCGGCAGGGCGGTGTCTTCAACATTGGAGACTTGGAGGTTCATGGGAAGTTATAATTCAGTGGGGTTCGAAGTCCATACTTCTAAGCGTATTTCGGGTACTTAAACCCTGCTGTCCCCGGGTGAGGTCGCCTGGCGGTGTTTTAGGGTTTGGGGCTTAGGGTTTAGGGCTTCCCATATTAGAATATGCCCCTATACCCTAAACCCTAAACCCTAAACCCTACCCCCTAAACACTGTCAACACCCCGCCGTCGGTAGCCGAGCTCCTCACCCATCATTCTCATCTAAGCGAAAAGTGTACAAACTCCGCTTGGCCTGACACAAGGGTTCAGAGCTCCATGAGACTCGTTGCAGACCGAAACTCTAAAACCTTAGAGCAAACCCCAAAACCAAAAAAACAAAGAACGACGACTCCAAAAAGCCTACAACCCTGGAACCCCAAGAGCCCCCCCAAAACCCTCAAAACCCCCTAACGCCCAGCAAAACCCCCAAAACTCAAAACCAAATTCCTTTACTTCGAACATTCGCGGGATACCCTGGGCACTCCAGGGATTCTCAGGGGACTACTCTCTAGGGTTTAGGGTTTAGGGTTTACGGTTTAGGGTTTAGGGTTTAGGGTTTAGGGTTTAGGGTTTAGGGTTTAGGGTTTAGGGTTTAGGGTTTCAGAGTCTGGGGTATCTTTTTGGTTGGGTGCCGGGAGACCGCCCAAGCACCAAGAGATTCTCGGGCAATGGCGAGAGACGCAAAAAAGAAGCAGTTTTAGAACAGCTACTGTAGTAAAGTAGTCAGAACCCTAAACCCTAAACCCTAAACCCTAAACCCTAAACCCTAAACCCTAAACCCTAAACCCTAAACCCTAAACCCTAAACCCTAAACCCTAAACCCTAAACCCAAACCCTGCAATAACAACAGCAATAAGGGTGATCATGTGGGGGCCCCCAAGTGCGAGCCCCACCACCGCGAAGCTCTGGGCACCATGGTAGCACTCTGCGGTTGAGGATGTTGGGGTTTTGGGCCTTTTAGGGTTTGGGGTTTAGGGTTTAGGGTTTAGGGTTTAGGGTTAGGGTTTAGGGTTTAGGGTTTAGGGTTTAGGGTTTAGGGTTTAGGGTTTAGGGTTTAGGGTTTAGGGTTTAGGGTTTAGGGTTTGGGGTTTGGGGTTTGGGGTTTGGGGTTTGGGGTTTGGGACTTAGGGTTAAGGATTCGGGGTTTCGGGTTTAGGGTTTGGGTTTTAGGCTTTCAGGGTTGAGGGTTGAGGCTTCAAGGAAAAGGTCCTCGGTCCCGCGGGGGCCGTGCGCCAGGTTCTCCTGGCAACTTTTAGCGATCCTAAGGGCCCTAAGGGTTCAGGGTTTAGGGTTCAGGATTGAGTGGTTGTGGTTAGGGTTTAGAGCTTTAGGGCTTTAGGTTTAGGGTTTTAGGGTTTTAGGGTTTTAGGGTTTTAGGGTTTTAGGGTTTTAGGGTTTTTAGGGTTTTTAGGGTTTTAGGGTTTTAGGGTTTTAGGGTTTTAGGGTTTTAGGGGTTCAGGGATTTAGGGTTTTAGGGTTTTAGGGTTTTAGGGTTTTAGGGTTTTAGGGTTTTAGGGTTTTAGGGTTTTAGGGTTTTAGGGTTTTAGGGTTTGCGGTCGGATGGGGCTGGGACTTGCGGCAGCTCTTTGCGAATGTCTCAGGAAGCCAAACCTGGATCCCCGGCTCATGGGTCTACTTGGTGGTTCATGGGCAGTTCTAAGTGGGGTTATGAGTAGGGTACCTTAACTTGGGGTACTTATACCGGCATCCTTACGTAGATAGAACATTTGAAATCCCGACCAAAAAAACACACCGTTTCCAAAACAATAGCTAAAATATTTCCCATTTGCATAACGATAGATAGAATTTTTTCCCAGGGGCCAAGATAAGCACCCAGACGTGGCTGCAGAGAGAAGTGGGTAGGAAGGCACGCTAAGAGGCCCGAGACCCCAAGAAGCCACCCTCAGAACATACGAGGGCCAAGAAACCAAGACGCCAAGAGGCCTGCGGGAGACCCCCAAACGGGCGCCCAAAAGCTGTCTTAAACATGATCCCGGAAATATTTTATGTCCGGGTACAAAGATTCTATGTGTGGGTTCCTCAACAATCCTATGTATGGGTTCAAAGATAATATGTATGGGGTCCTCGAAAACGTGGGAACACGCCAAAAACTGCCCAAAAACAACCCCCCCCCCCCCCCCGGAAGCCCGAATTCTATCTATTCAAGGATGACTATAACCCTACGTATACCTACCCATGCACCTTCAAGTAAGTTTCCCAGCATCCCAGGACACAAAAAGACAGCCACCCTTTCTTGGGGCGTAGTTGTGTGTATGAGGGAGCCTAAACCTTAAAAAAGGGGGAACAAGGGCATCTCTGTAAAAAAAACACATTTATGGAAGCTGCGTGCCAGACACTCTGATCCTATACCAAATCGAGACACGCCCCGCAAACCCTAAACCCTAAACTCTAAACCCGAAACCCTAAACCCTAAACCCTACACCCAAAGTTGCAACAATCATGTGAAATAGTAACGATGCAAAACCTGAACCTGAAACCCTCAACCCTCAGCCCAGGGTGCCCTCAGCCCAGGCCGGGCGGGCAAAGCGTGTGTAGCACGAGACCACGACAAGTTCGTGGCTGGCTGGCACGACCACCCTGGAAAGCCCCCAGTTCGGAGGTTTTCAGGGTTTAGGGTTTAGGGTTTAGGGTTTAAGGTTTAGGGTTTAGGGGTTAGGGTTGCGTATGTTGTATTCTCTGTAGGTCAATCCCCCAGGTAGGAGCGGAGAAGCTGAAAATCTACCAGCCCCTGTAGCGAGTCCTCCCTGCAATGCTTCTGAAGTTCACGACACTACTCTCAGAGCTGCGCTCGTTCGCCGCACGTTCCTTTGCAGCAGAGTGGCTTACTTGGAGGTTGGCTTACAAGTTTGGTGCCGTAATTATGCTTGGCTATAACCTTGCTTAGGGTACTTATAGCCCGACTTTCTCTACTTACTCACTCACTTGTCTGACTCTTGTATCTAAACACATCACTACGTTTCATCGCAGGTGGGATTAAGGTCCAAAACCTGTTTTGTGCCATTGCGCTGTAGCGCCCCGCACTGGGTGCACAACCCTAAGCCCTAATCCCTTAAACCTAAGCCTTGAACCCTAAACCCTCAACCCTCAACCCTAAACCCAAAATCCTAAACCCGGGGTAGCAGCGGAACACGGAGCAACTGAGGGGAGCAGTTTTGCAGACGCCGCTTCCACCTTTAGTGCGATATGGACCTTCGAATCTCCATAGGGGGGTTTAGGGTTTAGGGTTAAGGGTTTAGGGTTTAGGGTTTAGGGTTTAGGGTTTAGGGTACCCTTTTGGGGGCCATTTAGCGGGATTCGATTCTATTTGTAAAAGGGGCGCCCCTATTTTTGGAAATAATCATATGGCATCCCACATGAGATCCTAGATATGCATCGGTGCACATGTATATGCAGTCTACTTGGAGGTTCATCGTGCTTATTAACCAATTATCACTGTACTTATAACTGTACTTACAACCATATTTGGGCACTTAAGGAGCTTACAAGTGGGATATAAGTACAGCTATAATTGGTTACTAAGTACCATGAACCTCCAAGTGCATGCTGCCTCAGAGCCTGGACCGCATCCCTAAGCCCAGGGCCAAGGAAGATGGCGCTGCACCAGCTGAGGGTGGAGCGAGCACTCCTGGCCTCACTGGATTAGGGTTTAGGGTTTAGGGTTTAGGGTTTAGGGTTTAGGGTTTAGGGTTTAGGGTTTTTGAGTTCAGGGTTTAGGTTTAGGGTTCAGGACTCCCATCGTGGAAGGAGGGGCTACGGATTCCAGGCTCAGGGTCTCAAGCAGGCTAGGCTCCTACACCCTAAACCCTAAACCCTAAACCCTAAACCCTAAACCCTAAACCCTAGACCCTAAACCCTAGACCCTAAACCCTAAGCCTAAGCCCTAAGTCCGAAACCCTAAACCCCAACAATCCTTAAACCTAAATCTTCCACACTGAGCCCTAAAGCCCTATATCCGAAACCCAAAACCCCAACAATCGTTCACCCTATATAAATCTTGAAAGCCCTAAATCCGAAACCCTAAACCCCAACAATCGTTAACCCTAAACCCTAAACCCTAAACCCTAAACCCTCGGTGGTGCAAGAGGATGTAGTGCCCAGGACTTTGGGCCGACATTTTGAGAAATCTCCGGGGCCAAGGCTTTTCAAGATGTCATCTCCATGGGGTTTAGGCTTTAGGGCTTAGGGTTTAGGGTTTAGGGTTTAGGGTTTAGGGTTTAGGGTTTAGGGTTTAGGGTTTAGGGTTTAGGGTTTAGGGTTTAGGGTTTAGGGTTTAGGGTTTAGGGTTGAGGGTTTAGGGTTTAGGGTTTAGGGTTTAGGGTTTAGGGTTTAGGGTTTAGGGTTTAGGGTCTTGGTTTTAGTGCTCAACGGTGTCGCTGGAGCTTGTGCTTTACATTGCTTGAGGGTTTCGGGTTGCCAGCAACCCCAAAACGCCGAAATCCTAAACCCAGAAAACCAGAAAACCCAAAACAAGAAAGTCTGCAAATGTCCTCGATGCTTCAGCCCCCTGCCCCACCCCCAAAGCCCTCAATCCCGCAGAGCCCAAATTGCCCAGACCATCCCAAACCACCCCCCGAAAAAAATAGACTCTCGAAAACCCCGACGCAACCCGAAAACAAACGCTAAAACCCCATATATTATATAAACATACATACATATACATATATATATATATATGGACCATATACATATATATATAAACATATACATAGATATAGGGGAGGAACCCAAAGAAGAAGCAGAGCCCGCGCCGGGGCTCCCCGCAGCTGAGGCACACCGACGGTGGTCGGAGCTGGTCCCGAAGGCCCACCTGGCATTTAGGGTTTAGGGTCTAGGGTTTAGGGTTCAGGGTTTGGGGTTTAGGGTTAGGGTTTAGGGTTTAGGGTTTAGGGTTTAGGGTTTAGGGTTCAGGGTTCAGGGTTCAGGGTTCAGGGTTCAGGGTTTAGTGCATGGATATGAAATGTACGAACACGTGCTCGTACGGACCCCAATCTAGAGAATCTGTAGCTCAAGATCCTCGCGTAACCCTCACGTAGACCCCAATTGTATTATTGAACCGTTCAATACCGACGAGCCCCCCCCCCCCACCCTTCCCGATGAATCGTTCAATACTGACCCCGCTACCCCCAACATGTCCCGAATTTTCAATGATTTTGCAACTCGTAGGAGTCCGACTCCCTTGCGAAAGCAAAATAAAAGTCAAG